TCCTCCAGCCCAGAGGGATCTCTCCTTCCTTCCCCTTCCTCTCCCATTCCTCTCGCCTTCCTCCCTCCTCTGATCACCATGCCTGTCATTCTTATTTGACACTAACCAAAGCTAGAAGGAAAGACGGCGAAAGCCAAGCCTGATATCTGTTGTGGCTTTGTTAATAGATGACCACATAATTTATCATCTATTCTGACATACTTCTGGGGGCGAAAAGGGTAGCCAACAACAATGATCTTGGGGATCAGGAAAATCTAGGACAGTTCTAGGGCAAACAGCAACCTTTGGTTACCTCATTCATAAGAGGTGCCAGCACCTCCCCAGAAATATAGCAAGAGAGAAAAAATTGTTCAGTAGAGTTGTGGTTTTACTTACTCAACACTTCAATGTACCAAAAAAAAAAAAAAAGTAGCTTCTTTATTTTTCCACAATACATCTTCTTCCCTGCATGTAGTGAAGGGGAGATATATGATTTTATGCCAGCCTAGTGTTTTGAATAATCTCTGGGACCTTAAGTCTTGACATTGCTGAGCAAAGAGAGAAATATAGCCAGAATTTCCAGCCCCATCTCCCTCCCCCCGCCCCCCTCATGGCAAACACCTCAAGTCCCTCACCACATGGGAGACAAATAGAAAGTGAAAGAGGATCAGGGTCTCCTTTAAGGAATGCTTGGTCTTAGCTGCAACCTGCACCAGGGACCACAGAGGGGCAATTTGCCTGCCTAACGTTCTTTGGTGGAGCAATGTTCTGGAACTGCAGCCATCTCTCACAGGAGTGGGGGTTATGCCTTGCTCAAGGGTGCCCGCAGAGGGGCTGAAATCTAGCCAGAACTTAACTAGGTGAGCTGTGAGCCCGGCGGCTGTGTATGTCAGAAAGAGCCTTTTTCTAGTTTGCACAAAGGCATTCCATAGGCCAGGACAGACCCTGGCCAGCACCCAGAGTCCAGGTTATTTGCCGTTGGCTTTACACTCTGCTTGTGGCAGCTTGTTGCTCCTGATCACAGGTTAGAGCTGGTTCCAAGCTCTTTTGGCACCTCCCTGTCACCTCATCAGGCCCATGGGAGATTCTGAGTCCCCTTCCATGCCCCATATAGGTCACAGAGTCAGGGCATCTTCTTTAGACTGCTCTACACACTCCTTCACACCCCACCTGCACACCACTGCTGCTGGCCTGAGGGACACAGGGCTTTAAGCCATAGGCAGGGCCCCACCTCCAGGGCCCGGCAGAGTTCCTTGCACTGTGCCCTGGATATGATCCATTTACCCCGATGTTCTCATACTTTCCCATCGTTTTCTTAGTGTTTCTGAATCTCGTCTCCCCGGAGTCATCCGATTTTATCAATGGTCTGCAGGTTCTTCCTCCTCACCACCCTCCCAGGGTAGCACGAACAGGTTACTGGGAATGACAAAATGCACTGATTAAGAGCCATGCCTCTCCAGTTTTTTCATGTGGTAGCAAATATCACATAGGAAATAATGGGTGTGGCCCACTGGGTCCTGGAGAGGATCTGAACCCCAGAGGGCTGCTCTGAGGACTAACAGTGTCCCCAGCCACGCAGATCCTGCCAGGCTCTCCTGAGAGCAGAGGGGACCAAGTCTCCTGGGGAGTTCAGAGGCACTCTGGTTGAAAATCCCTTCTTAGAGCCCTCTGCCTGACTTGGTCAGAAAGGAACTGAGTTATTGGGAAATACTCGCCGCCCCCCACCCCCATTAAGAGCCTGCCTTTCAAGGCCATTGTCCCCCTGCAGAGGTCAAGAACCTCAGCTTAGATGTTAATGCTGATCAATGGCCTCTTTATTCAGAAAGATCCTTCTCCTTCCCTGAGGCAGTAAGGGTTCTGGCTCAGCCCTAGAGCAAGCAGCACCAAGAAAACAGCTTCCAGGATAAATGGCAAGGTCCTACGGCATAGCACAGAGAACTATATTCAACACCCTGTAAGTGTTAGTAGCTCAGCGGTGCCCGACTCTTTGCGACTCCATGGCCTGCAGCCCACCAGGCTCCTCTATCCACGAGATTTTCCAGGCAAGGATACTGGAGTGGGTTGCCATTTCCTCCTGCAGAGGACCTTCCCGACCCAGGGATCAAACTGGGGTCTCCTGCACTGCAGGCAGTCCTTTACCAACTGAGCTACAATGGAAACAACTCAATATCCTATGATAGACCATAATAGAAAAGAATATGAAAAAAAGAATGTGTATATAAATTTATAACTGAATCACTTTGCTGCACAGCAGAAATTGACACATTGTAAATCAACAAGACTTCAATTAAATTTTTTAATTTTTTTTAAAAAAAGAAAAAATAGTTTTCAGTGGAAAACTAAAATACACAGGCATAATGTTGGTGAAATAGGATCCCTGATATAATGATAATTATGGGAACTCCTCTACCGGTGGATGGGGGAGCAAGGGGAACAAGGGTTTGGGGTTGGCGGGTAGCAGCACCCTAAGAGTACTATTACCTTGTGGCTAGTTCAGTTCAGTCGCTCAGTCATGTCCGACTCTTTGCGACCCCATGGACTGCAGCATGCCAGGCTTCCCTGTCTATCACCAACTCCGGGAGCTTGCTCAAACTCATGTCCATCGAGTCGGCGATGCCATCCAACCATCTCATCCTCTGTCGTCCCCCTTCTCCTCTGCCTTCAATCTTTCCTAGCATCAGGGTCTTTTCCAACGAGACCTGGAAAAGACCTTGCAGCTAGGCTGCCTTCAAAAGGAGCAGATTTCTGTTACCTCCAGGGCTTTTGTTTTTGCTGAGTGGTTTATACAAATGAGAGGCCAGTCGGTGGCTCTGAAAGAGGCAGGAGAGGGAGACACCCCACCCAGCACCCCTCCCAGGCTCTCTGCCCCTTTTCCAGTCAATACTCAGGCTTGAGCTTCACCTAAATACAATACCTAAATAAAATGGGTGTATGTTTTTGTGTTCTGTCCAGTTTCCTTAACATTATGTCTCTGACACTCATCTGTGTGGCCGTGGGAGGTAGTAATCTGCTCTTTTACCCTTGCTATGTAGTATTCTGATGCAGCAAAATACCCTCAATTAATTTAGCCTTTCTCCACTTCATTTGGATGGCTTTAGTTCTCACACACATAAAGGCTGCTCTGAGTGTTTTTTTCATTCCCCTTTATGGCCCTCACTCATTTCACTCCTTACGTGGGATTTTTTTAAAAAAACATTCTTATTAAAATAATTAACTTGTTTCTGATAAAAGTCATACATATTCATTTAGAAAATGGAATATGCAAAAGTGCAAAGTTTTTAAAAAGTCTTCATTGATGTACATTCAATTTTGTACTTGGCTGTTTCATTCCAAGTACCCTGAGCATTTTTTAAAAATGACAGTCCACGTAAGTCTTAGCCTCTTTTTGATTCCTTCTGTCCTCATTCCTTGTATAGCCACCAGCTGATATTCCCAATGATTCCGAGAAGGTTTTGCCCAGGAGAGAAAGGAAAGACTACAGACAGCTGGCCACCTACCCTGTCCACCCCCAGGTAGAGGCGGGCTCTCAGTCTAAAGTGAGATAGTGCTGTATTTGCAGGGCAGGTGCCTCCCTTCATCACCACTGCTCTGAGCTCTCACAAACAGAGCTAGTAAGCTAGAAGCACCGGCTACAAGTTGAGAAGAGAATGAGAAGTGTGGCCGTGAGATTGGAAAACAGGGTGTTCGCAAATAGGGATAGCGAGTGATGAGTTTGGAAAGAAGTGTCTCTGCCCTCAGTCCTGCGCATGAACCTTCCAGTTCAATAGGAGTTACGGATTCACGTTATCCTAACGTAGAAAATCACAGGGCAGACACAAAGCTAACGGTTTCCAAGTTCCTGTTTCTCTTAGCTCATTTCAAAATATTGGCAAACTTTTCTCCATCTCTTGTTTTGCTCATTTTTGCTAATTAGGTTCGATTATAAACACAAGATTCTTGAAGCACGTCTCTGGACTTCTGTTTCCTCATCTGTAAAAGAGGGTTAATGCTCCTTTTTATTTCTTAGATCAGGGTTTTTCTTTCTCCCTTTTAAACATTTATTTGGTTGCCCTGGGTCCTAGTCGCAGAACATGCGATCTTTAGTTGCAGCATGCAAACTCTTTAATTGCGCCATGTGGAATCTACAATAGTTCCCTGACAAGGGATCAAACCCAGACCCCTGCATTGGGAGCATGGAGTCTTGGCCACTGAACCACCAGGAAGTCCCAGATCAGCATTATTGATTGACATTTTGGGCCAGAAAGTCTTTGCTGTAGGGGCTGTCTTGAGCATCATAGGATGCTTAAGCCACATCCCTGGCCTCTACATACCAGATAATAGTCATCATCCTCCCTTCCCCACAGTCGTGACAAGCAAAAATGTCTCCAGATATTGCCAAATATCCCCTGGGGAGGGGAGGGGAAAATAATCCCTGTTTGAAAAGCACTTGTTTAGAGCTGCTGTAAACCACTTGGAAGTAAGTGCTGCCAGGTAAGTGCTGGGTGAACCTTCGCCATCAGTGTTGATGAGAAGGTCCTGGCAAGGGGTGGACTCGAAGCGGGGGTTACTTCACAAACTGATCTGCTTGTTATTTATTTCATCATTATTTCCTTTTGCATCTTCCATTCTCCTGTCTTGAAGAGTATGGTTTAAAAGTCTTTTTAAATTTTTTATGAAAGCTGCCTTACTTTGTAGGTACAAGTATCAGAAGTAAAACTCAGAAGTACTGGCATTGGTAAGTGGCTTTTGAAACTGGAGAATGTCAAAGAAATGTAAATCACACTCTTTCAGGAGTGTCTTTCTTTTTCTAAGAGCTTTCACAACCATTAACTCGTTGGACCCTACCACAGTGTGTTCTAGCTGAGCTCTAGCTGAAATTCAATGGTTTCTTTTTGTGGAAAGACTGAGTTGGTGGGAAGCCATAGCTTGGTATGAGGGATGAGGGTTGGTGTTGGGGTGTGTCTTTACTTACTTCTGCTGATGGAAGAGAGGATGTTATTTGGCAGACTGTGAGGCCTCGGGAACAGGAGATGAGGAAGAGGTGGGATGCCACTGATGCTTTCCTGTGGCCTTGAGGGATCTGAGTGATGAAAGCAGGGTGAGGTGAGTTGAACCCTGCGCGAGAATCCTGCTGCGTCCCCAGGGAAGCTGGGGAGGGGTGTCCTCACTGTGCACCCCTCTGCCTCAGACACTGCCAGCTGGGGCTCATAGGGCTCCCTGAACCCAGGTGCCGTCCAGACACCCTGAAGGCGGCAGGGGGGGCGTCAAGGCATTTCAGGTCACCCTCATGCCGGACTCCCAGCAGCGACAGAAAAAACCAAGGTGTGTGACTGGGACCTCTTCTCTGATATTTCAGACCCTCCTAGGGCCTGTTCTCACCTTTGGCTGTAGTTCTACCTGTTTGGTGCCCAAGAGCAGCATCAGGAATCCTGCCATGGGGTTACTAAGCTGAGGCTAGTCAGTCTGTCAGTAACGGGGGGCTGCTGAGGCTGACAGCCACGCCCACAGCCCCCCCCCCTCTGCTACAGCCACGCCCCCGACTATGACCGGACCCATTCTCTGTCCTGCTCCAGTCACACCCACCGCCGCGCCCATGGCTGAAACCACATGCCTGGACATTCCTCCTCACCGCTGCTTTCAGTCAAGTGGCTGCCACACCAAGTTCCGGAGAAATGAGTCACGGGAGACTAATTCTGGGGGAAATCTTGTGCCAGCTTTATTTGGATGTTGCAAAGACCAATATGTTGAGAGGCCAACAGCAGTGTACCTGAACACTAAAGCTTTCAAAATTGCATTCGCAACTTTCCACTTTCTAGGCTCTGCACTCCCCTCTGCGCCCTCCTCTGGGACCAGCTCCCTGCTCTCTTTGAGTGGAAGACAGATCAGCCATGAGTACCTGGCACTGTTTTATAGCTCAGTGTGGCATTTGGTAAGGCACCTAAAGGACCTCTGGCCTTCCAGATGCATCTGAGCAGCCTAATAAAACTTAATTGCCCATTCTGTCCCTTTGTACCTTGGATCCTCACCAGACCCAGCATACCAGAGCCAGCTCAGCCCTGAGAACCGTGCCATGCCCCTTGGAAGCCCTCAATAGGATTTGAACTGGCTGGCCAGCTCCTCCCTCTAGAACATGAGCTCTTCAAGGTCACAGACTGTGTCAGCTTAAGTCCTTATTTACAAGACAGAAATTGTTAGCATGCGAATGTTCTTATGTCTTCTACCTTAGCCCACCGGAACAACCTTGTAGTTGACAACACATCTCCTCCCTCTCGCTGAAGAGGAGGGATCCTTTCAGGTTGGTGAGAGACTAGGTTATTTGTATCATAAACTGAGAAAGGAGTGGAAAGGAAAGTCTATAATTGAGTGATTCTCCAACCATCTGCACCGGAACCACCTGGGGATCTTGTGAAAATGCAGATCGTGATTCAGTGGGTCTGAGCCAGAACCTGAGACTCTGCATTTCTTATGAGCTCCCAGGTGATGCAGGTTCATTCACAACAAGGGTGTAAAGGACTGGATAGCAAGGAGGTTTGCACAGAACTGGAGACAGAAATTCTGTGGAGCAGCGTCAGCATGTGAGAGAAATGGACAGAAGAGGAAGGGTTTTTGTTTTTTTTAAACACTGTCACAGCCTCTGTACTGGGCTCTCATCGTTCTCAAGAAATGCAAGTCCATTCCTGGTTTGTCAGCTGCCCATATTCCTCAGCTAGTAGCTCTCCCATGTCCTCTGATGGAATAATGAGCCAGGCACTGCCCATCCCCAGCACATGACTGCCAGAGAGGCCAATGCGAGCGCCTGCTCTGAAATCTGAATCATGGATTCAGGCCCAAAACACACACAGTTGGAGTGTTCTCATTCCAGCCAAGGCAGCTGAGTGAGATTTTTGAGCATTTTCTGCTGCCAAGAGCCTTCTGGAGATGCCGGGTGCCTGATAGCTGCACATGAGTCTTTATCCCTCCATTGTTCTAGCGTACTCTCTAGTATCCTTCCAAGAAATTCTTTTTTTGTCTAGATCCGCCAGAGTCCATTTCTGTTGCTTGCAATCAAAGCACCCTAAGAGATATGCTATTTAATCAGTAGATCGTTTTGAGCTATTGTTTTGAAATTAGATTTCATTTCCTAATTCTGTGTGTGTTTTAATTAGAAGACCACTTCACCACTTAGGCTGAACCCATGGGTGCTGCCTTTACGCTGCTTACATTTGGAGACCAGGCTTAGCACTGTGCCTGAGAGAAATGCAGTAGATGCTCAATGAATGCCCATGGAAAGAATGAGCAGTCACTTTACAGCATCTGCACTGAACCCTGGCATCTGTCAGCTGCTCCTCTGCCTGGGGACTGTTAGATGGCCATCAGGCACTAAAATAGCAACAGCTTATAGGAAAGTGTGTTCAATCTTGCACCAGCACCAGCTATTAAACTTCTGACCTTTCACTTGAATTTTCTCCCTGTATTTTTTTTTTCTCCCTGTATGTTTTACAAGCAAAGAGCTACAGGAGGTCCAAATGGAGCGAGGTCTTTGTTCCATGAATATATTATGGTTCGATTAAGATATTCCCATTTAAATGAGAAGCATACCTGTATTTCCACTGTGATGTTTCCTGTTGTGGCAATTATTGCTAAAAAGATGTAAACTGTATATGTACTATAAAGACCATTCTAGCCTGTGGAGGCATAAAGATCTTCCCTCAAGTCCATCCCAACTGTGCTATAATCTAGTTGTCCTTGGGCAATTTATGTCTCAGAGCCTCAGTTTCCTCATCTGTAAAATGGGCACGGGGGTATTAGCATCTTCAATGGGTTGTTATAAGCACTGAACAGGGCAATGCATCTAAAGGATTTATGTTCATTAAGGCAATGCATATAAAGCACTTGGAACAGTGTCAGTACTCAGTAAGTGTAGCTATTATTAAAATTTCTTTTCCACTAAAGCTAGAATGTATAATCCTTCCCTCCCACTCTTAAATAGAAATCTTAAAAAAAAAAAAGGCTTTTTATCCAGTTATGGTAAAAAAAAAAGTATATACATGGAGAAAAGACAGAAAGAAAACATACTACCATTTTAATGTTTGTCTATGGGTGTGACATTATATATAATTTTTCTTTTCTTCCTTCAGTTTTCTATGCTTTCCAGATTCTTTGGAAATGTGCATGTACATTACTTTTATGACCAGAGGAGAAGCCCTGACAAATGCTATCTTTAAAAGAGAAGAAAAAATATTGAGGCAAAGTGCAAGATGATTTTGTAGGAACTGGATAAAAAAAAATCCCAAGTTAGATGGAGAAACAGATGTTTTCTGGTCAAGAGCTTATTAGGAGGGAAGTGACATCAATTTGGGTTCACATCAGCTCAAGTGGCAAATCATAATGCAAAATGAAAGTACATTCAGAGGGGCTGAACCCACGCTGGGATTTTGTCGCGTGAATCATCAAGCTAGAAATGACCTCAGGACGTATGACCCCGCCCCCTTCCCTCACCTCGGGAAAGCTGGCCCTGTAACTTTTCAGGACAGATGAGCAGTGGTCCTATTTATAAGCCCTCTAGGAACTACACGTATATTTCCTTCCTCCTAAGCTACCCTGAGAGCTGAAGAACTCGAGGACCAGGCTGGTGGAGATTCCCTGTAACCCATCAGCTGCGCGGGACTGTTACTCCCCTCCCACTCCCCACAAGCTTTTGGGAACTAGCCATGTGTTCATGGTGCTTTGGAACGTGGAGAAGGTGAGGTGGTCCAGGAGTAACAGGGGGACACAGGATGGCAGCCTCAAGGGCAATGAATGCTGGGGAAGGAGCAGGAAAGAGCAGTGACCAAGGCTACAGCCCTCATGACCAGAGGAGGTAGACCTTTCAGGAAGCCTGTGGAGGTTTTGAAGGAGGCTTGTCAAAGCACTACCATGGAGGTTGAAACCGTTTCCCTAGTTTATTAAAGGAAAGCGTGATTACTGAATTCCAGAGAACTTGGGGCTCTCCAAAGGGGAGGTGTCCATGTGATGAGTGTTAGCAGAGATAATATGAGTAGTAGTGAAGAGTATTACTCTTAGTATTGGTACTGGCATCAGTATCATTATTCCTTTGGTTCCCTCAAATCCTCACTTAGCTCCTGCATCCATTCTCTTGGGGCCAAATCAATGAACCATGTTAAGATGCTGCCTCCAGGCATGTTGATGAGCATGGCATGTGGTATCAAAAGCCCTCCTGAGGTCTGAAAGATACACTTAATGCTCTCCCCCATCCCTTCCCTATTCATATACCAAGTGACCTTATCACAAAAGGAAAAGAAATTCGCTTGGAATGAATTTCCCTTCCCAAAGCCACATGGGTCCCTAACCTTCCTAGATGGCTGCCAGTTTAAGGGTCATCTCTTGCTGCATAACTGATCACCCCACAACTGAGTAGCTTAGAGTAACGATACACCCTTGTTCTCTCGCAGTTTCTGTGGGTCAGGAAATAGGGAGTGGCTCTGGGTGGTTGTGGCTTGGGGTTGCTCAAGAGTTTGCAGTCGAGATGTTACCCTGAGCTGGAGTCATCTGAAGGTTCGAGACAGGTGGTTCTGCCGTGGCTCTTTCAAGGGTGGCGAGTTGGTGCTGCCAGTTGACCTCAGCTCCTCACTCCAAGGACCTCTGCATAAGGACACTTGAGTGTCCTCATGACATAGCAGCTGGCTTCCCCCAGAGTGAGAGGTGCAAAAGAGGAAGGCAGAGTAACAATGTTTTCTTTTATGACCTAGCTTCAGAAGTCACACTCTGTCATTTCTGCAATATCCTATTGGGGACTCAGGTCAGCCCAACTCAATGGAGGAATATCGAAGGGCATAAATGCCAGTAAGTGAGAATCACTGGAGGCCATCTAGAGCTGGCTACCACTTCCAGATACCAGTTGAAACTGACTAAGCCACTATTCACAGAACCACTGTTTGTTTCTTCTTTCTACACAAACATGAAATAGGCAATTTTCAGTTGTGTAAGTAGATACAATGATAATACCAGTTGACCTTTATGCATCAATTTCATCTTTTGAGGGCTATTACTGCTCCATGCTACAGATGAGAAAATGAAGGCTCACAGCTGTAAAGGGACTTGCCAGTATCCCAAAGTTAGAAAGTTCTGGAAGCCTGGGATCTGAACTTGTATGTTGTAGTTCCTAATCCAGTGATCTTGTCATCATACCACGGCCCCCACAGGCCTCCAGGGCACCACCTGTGTCCTTGTCTTCCAGGGCAAATGTGAACTGGAGAGCAGTTGTAGTGGAGCAAAGGAAATCTCATCTTTATTTTTAATTTTTTTTTATTACACAAGTGATCCATGCTCATTTGGAAAAGCTACAAAACAAAACTGATTTTTAGAAAAAAGGAAGAAAAGATTCTCCCATAATTATGCCACCCAGGTCTAGCACTGTTAATGTCTTAGTGTATTCCCCGAAGAACAAAGGAAATGATCTTGAAGTACATTAACAGCATCTCCAGGGCAGACTGTGAGGGAAACCCCATCCACTTGGCTTCGCCTGAGGGGAGAAAGGATGTGAAATATGACCTTGTGAGTGCAGCGGGCTGTGCGTGTGTTTATGTGGTGTGTGTGCACACATGTGTACACGCCTGGTACTTCACTGCCCAGACCATTTGGCACATTAGCACTTAGCCAAGTTGGTGGAGGATTTATCACAACCTCAGCAAAGAGTGTTTCTGCAAGTGAGAGGCAGGCCAGCCATGGCTCCAGACGGCAAAGTGGCTCACCCTCTAGTTTGGCTCAAGTTCCTTCAGGTAGGGGAAGGTTGTTTCAGTTTAATTTCATCCTTTTGGTTTTCTACACTGCCCACTGAGAGGTTGAGGCCCTGTGTGCTCCTTGAGCACTGCAGGGCCCCCTTTCATCATCTTCCGTACACATAAAACGTCTTACTTGTGACCAGCTCCCTTGCCTGTCCCCCAGCCAGGAGGTTAGCCCTGAGGAGGGGGGCTTCATCTGCCTTGTTCACCTTGCATCTACCTTGCAGCACCTGCCACTCTGTTTGGCAGGTTGTCACATTTCAAAACATGTCTGAATTGACTGCAGGCTTTGGGGGTATATATGTGAAAGTTGCTAACAGCATCCACAGTTTGTATCTAGAAGGAGCTGGACCCCACTTAAGCAGGCAGTCAGCATCCTAGCACCTTCTTGAGGTCATCTATTTGTAACCACCCAAAATCCTGTGGTCACCACCTGGAGACAGAAGAGCCAGGCCTACTTTTTTTTTTTTTTTAAGAATTGTAAGAAGTATTCTATCAAATTAGGTACCTGTTCTGTCCTCAGCTACTACTACTACTGCTAAGTCACTTCAACCATGTCCGACTCTGTGCGACCCCATCCCTGGGAGAGGTGGAATAAAATTGACTCCATTTCATCAATCTCGCTTAGTTTTAGCTTATGGAGACTCCTCCCTCCAAGTACAGCCCCTAGGAGGCAATGAGATGCAGCATCAAGAGCAGCAGACTTGGAGTCAAATGCCATGTCATGTACATTTCAGTTGTGCAAGTTGCAGGAGTTTGGTGACCTCTCTGAGCCTTGCTTTCTTCATCTGTAAAATGGGAAAAATAACAAAATTTGTAGTGTTGTGTTGCTTCAATGAGAGAAAAGTGAGAGTTGCTAGCACGGTGCCTTGGCACACTGTCTGTATCTGAGTATACATACTTTTCCCTCTGGGAGTATCTCTTTTAACCTTGAAAATCTGAGAACAGTGCCAGTCACACGACCACTGAAGATTTTGCCTGAGGAGTGCATTGATCAGTTTTATCCCTGGACAGCTTCCACCGAACTGCATTTCTATTCATGGACATAGAATCATCTCCTTGTGAAATTACAAGATGCTGGAGCACAACTCCAGAAAATGATGTTGAGTGCCACCCCTACCCCAACCTTGGAAGTCCTGGAAGCTCACTTTCAGCACCAGTCAGGACCAGCCAGAGCTGGAAAGGATACCTGGGTCCTGAGGGAGAAGGTGAGCAGGCTCTGCCTCTAGGGATCTCTTATCTTCTGCTTCGGTTGGGTTGGAGAAGTCCCTTCTGTAGTGGAAGTCCAGGTTTGAGGGCTGAAGCTGAAGCCCAAGGTTTGAGATGGTAATGCCCAGGACCAGGATGTTAGGAATGAGGGAAACCCCATCCACTTGGCTTCGCCTGAGGGGAGAAAGGATGTGAAATATGACCTTGTGAGTGCAGCGGGCTGTGCGTGTGTTTATGTGGTGTGTGTGCACACATGTGTACACGCCTGGTACTTCACTGCCCAGACCATTTGGCACATTAGCACTTAGCCAAGTTGGTGGAGGATTTATCACAACCTCAGCAAAGAGTGTTTCTGCAAGTGAGAGGCAGGCCAGCCATGGCTCCAGACGGCAAAGTGGCTCACCCTCTAGTTTGGCTCAAGTTCCTTCAGGTAGGGGAAGGTTGTTTCAGTTTAATTTCATCCTTTTGGTT